AGCCTTCCTGGGGCTCGAAATAGTTCTGTTTTTGCATCTGGGTGTTGCTATACAGATATACCCAGTTTGTTAAGAAAAAGTAATTGAGCAGTATGGTCATGGGCACGTTTAGTTCATGTTACCTTTCAATAAAGGATTGTTATAGCACTGTACTTAGCTTTGCAAATGTTCTTAAAATCAGTACATTGTGGATATAAGGATAAATACTCCAAAATAATTTGTTGCAGTTCTTTGCTTCAGTGGTTTCCACCAGAATACTAGGTTCCCATTAATGGCAAACAAAAAGAGGTGGTAGAATACAGACAGAGGACAACAAACTTTTCCATCCACTATGAATTTGCTGCAGATTTGCTGAAATTTGGCTTTAGATCATTGGGACTGTGGTTACTTACGTACTGTGATTCTGTGTACTGTAGTTACTTATGTGCATCTCAAGAACTCAGAGAGGCCAAGTGGTTCTGTTTGTGAAAGCGCTCTTTGGTATCCATTGGAACCTAGTGGAGAAGCCATGTAATAGTGCTGCCTCTTTATAGGTTATAAAAGGACAAATCACCTTTTCAAAGTTCGTTTGATGCTTTACAAGTCGTACTTAGAAATGGGATAATTTAGTTCTTCAATAGAGCATTGGGACCACCTTTCCTTTGTGAGCCACACATCCCATCCATTTACCTGTTTTTTTTCATGCCATTGAAAAGCAGAAGGATAGAATTTTCACAGACAGAAAATCTTCATTGCAGACAACGAAATATGCAATTCCTGCTGATTTCCCTTGAGTAATTTAATATATCAGAATCTTAATATATGAGGTTTTGTTAAGAGTTCCCAAGTAGTTGAGGGGCATTGTTATTGAGGCTGCGTTGGTCACTAGGGTTGGGTGTCAGTTTATCTCAGTTTTCTCTTTTAGCATCTCATATTCCTGACCATTCTTTCTTTTTCTCTTATGCAAATATAAATCAGTATACCATGCAATTCCTGATTTCTTTGAACTGAAAATCCTTGCTAGGAAGGCAGTTCATAAATACGTCACTCCATATTTCAGGTTGCACAATGCTAACAGAGAAGCAGGCTCTCAGGAGAGGCTTCCTTTGCATTGATTGAAGCAGGTGTTCTCTTTGAGTCGTCAAGGCAGCTCCCTTCTGAGAATTTTAGATAAGTGGTCCAAATTACATCTAAGAGGAAAACTCGCCAAAGCATAATTACTTTTCATCAGGGTGCCACAAATAATGAAAGGACAAGGAACAGTGGAAGTACATTGTAGGCTACTTAATCACCATCATTTTAAAAAGCTGATGTAGAATTCCTTACTTCAAGACAAATTGTATAGCTTTGGTAGTAAATTAGACATATTTTCTAAACACTAAATTATATTTCTTCTCATTTACATTTGCCTAAGAAAAGCTGACTGGCAGTGGAGTCCAAGAGACATGCTTGCACCTGCTGGTTTCAGTCAGTGAAGTTTTTCATTCTACAGTAGCTTCCTGTGTTTCTATTCACACGAGTGCAACCCCCCCCCCCCTACTTTCTCTTTCCTGGTAAGATAAATTTCATGAGAGTTGCTCGATACACAAGATGCGGTCAGATTCCTTACTCTAACTTGCCTCTCCATTCTCCATCCTATCATGAAGATCTGAACTTCCTGAGAACAATAGATTAGAATGGATAGAGAGCATAAAGCTTTGTCCTGTGATGAACCATTGTTTAATACAGTGTGGGAAATCCTGGTCATCAAAACTTCATGTAATGTTTCTCTCTACTTAAGAGTTGAGCAGCAAATTCTAGAACCGGACAGTTTCAAGAGGCCCCATGGAAAGCCCGAGTCTCATAGAATGAAGTTGTTTGCAAGATCAGCCGTTGCTTAGATGGCAGAATGTGCTTCAAGTGTGTGCCCTGGTTTATACATTAGGGCAATAACTGCGGTGCTGTAAGAGTCGAATAGCAAAACAAACGTCTTTTCTGAGCATGTACTTTACTAATAAGTGAATAAAATATTTTTGAGGCGGTCCATATAAACCATTGCAAAGAAATTGCCCAATAAACCAGAACATGTTAAAGGATAGCTTTTATTTATTCTTTGACAGTCTCATTAATGTTTATTACGTATCTTGATCATACCCATCCCAACGCCCACTAGACTCCCCCAAATTCCTCCTCCCTCCTTCATGTATCTGTGTCTGCGTCTGTGAGTGTATTGGCTGTGCCATCTCCAGAAGACAGCATTTCACAACACTCCTCCCCATCTGCTGGCACTTGCATTCTTTCTGTCCCTGAGCTTTTGGCAGGGCCAGTACTCCATAAGATTCTTAACCCCAGTTGAGAACTTTGACACAGTTTTTATTACTGCCTTTCCCCCCCCTCCCTTTCCCATCTGAAGCATCTCTGTGCTTCCCACTGTTGGTTTTGCCAGCATGTATCTCCTTCAGTGTGTATCACACAGCCTGCTTCCTCCATAGGCAGCCCCCTTCATCATGTATCATACAGCTTGCTTCCTCCATAGACAATCCCTTTTATGCATCTAGATAGAGTAGAAATACATACTCGTGAAATAAAACTGGTCTTGATGATTAAGTTTCTATGGGGTAGAAATGTGGGCTTTCTAGTATATTATATCTCAAAGGTAGAGATTAGCAATTTTCTTTTTAAAGGAGTAAACAGGATATACTTTAGACTTTGTGAACCATGTAGTTTCTATCGCAGTTATTCAAATCTGCTTTGGTTGTAGAAAATTTACTATAGCCAACATAGTGTAAATAACTGAATGTGTTGAGTTCTATTAAAAATATCACTTTATACTTGAGTTTAAAGAAGTCATGTGATCCAGTTTTCTTCCAAACATTGAGTGCCATCACCATATAATGAAATAGTCAGTAGTTGGTCACATATAATTTTGAAGAGGCTAATTAAACACTAACATATGAAGGGCCCTGGACCCTTTCCAGGGGTAATATCAATAATCAGATGAGAGATAATGCTTTAATAGTGATTGATAGGTATCCAGAACTAGTCTCTTATCTGTATTACTTCACTTATACACACAATCCTATTCAGTATTTTGCACCATGAATCCCAGCCATCTATAGATGATGAATCCAAGATGCTGGCTGAGGAAACAGAATGGAGCTGGACATCAAGTGAGCTACTTCCCTCTCATTTCCACAAATCATCTTGATATACCTGTATGTGATATCAGGAGCACTGGGATGGTATTACCAGTTTGGTCTTCTATGTATGGACAGACACATGAGGCCCAGAAGGATGCAAGCAACTGTGCAAAGGTCACTCGGTCATTGATAACGGATTAACAGGTCTTGAAATCAATGAAGGCACCACTGGGAAGGCCTGGAAATAGGAGTAATTCTTAACTGTCACAAAGACAAAATCCCTTTAAATATGCATAATTGCTTCTAATTTCTCACTTTAAATTTTATTTCTATAGCTTCATTTCATTTTGATAAATACACAATAGGTGGAGTTATTTTTATTTTTTGACATCATGAGAGGCATTGTACTCCCAAAGAGGGGGTGACATATTTTTCCATTGACCCGTGGCCTCCACTGGGCTCTACTGAAGCCCCAACGTGTATAAGAATCACTTGGCAGTGATTGGAATAGAGGATGCTGAGCACTAGCTCACTGGCTCAGAGACTAATTTCATTGAGGATCTTGCAGAATCACGACAACAGAACCTTCAGGAGAGTCTTGCATATATAGCCTAGACTGCAAATGCTACCCTGGAATCTCATTTAGTTTTTGTAAGCTAAAATGTCCACATGTACTAACAGCTTGACTTTAAAATACCATGTGGCATGAATAAATAAAACTGCACTCAGCTGTACATGGGTTATAGTAATAAAGATATGACCACATTCTATGTAGGAATGGAGCTTTATTATCACAGATGAACTATACGGAGGGCTGTAATATTTAAATCAAGTCTGTTTGAGGGTGATTTTGGATTGACAGGCGTTGTGGCCGTACTCAACTGACCACGGCTTGGGGATTCTGATGGGTGCCCGTGCATCTTTGTGGCTCAGCTACAGAGTCTGTTTTCTGCCTTTCTGTCACTGTCTTACTTGGAGAAACTGAAAGGGGAAGGAACGAGTGTTACAAAGGATTAGATTTTGCTACCATTCTCCACCTACCTACAAATATATAATTATTTATAACAGAAGACTTTAGAAAAGCAATTGTGTATAGTAGAAGAATTTAGGATAGAAATAGTCCATCTAGGCGAACAAGCGGCAGAATACAAAATACTAGGGACTCCAGACAGTGTAATTACTACTATTAAATTTGAAGTTTAAGTTTTCTGGCACTGAGGGCAAAAGGGGAAACATGTTGGGTTATATTGTTTCATACTCTGGGTAAAACCAGCTTTCACGTTTGTCTGCAGAGAAAATTGTTACTTTGAGCAAAACTCAACCAATAATTTAACACATATGTTCTTGGGAGAATACAGTTTACTACAGCTTTACAAAAGTCGTAGAAGTGCTGTGGGATTGACTTGAATGAGTCATCAGCTGATGACTCGTTTACTTATTTCTTCATTGCCTTTGCTTTTAAGGCGAATAAAATGCTTGCAATGTTAATCACTGGTGATATGGTGATAACCATGACATTTCTTATTCTTGGGGAATTTGCCATACAAAAGAACAAAAGCAGTAATTCAGAGTTGAGGGGCAGGAGCCTGAACCAGAGGTGTGCAATTATTTGTACCTCCTTTTAGCAAAAGAATAAACGAGATGCAGTGGGATATCAGAAGGAACACTGATGGAGGTGTGAGATAATCAGTGAAATCAGACACATGGGTACTACAAATGCAATCCAAGAAGAGTAGTAGAGGAGGCAGGAGAAAGAGGGGTATGGCACCTCAGCAGACTTACTCTCCTAAACTGGATGGAAAGCTCACACGATAGCATGGAATCAGAGAAATCCATAAGAGTTAGAATTGAGAAGATTGGCGTAAACTATTGTGATGTCATATGAGAACAATGAGTAGTCACCTCAAGTGTTTTTGGCCTGGAACGTGCATGGTTTGTGTTTTAGAAAGAACACCCCAATACGGTGGGGAAGGAAGGTAGGCCAGGAGATCACCTCGAAGGCCAAAGGGTGACTCTCTTTTTAAATGCTGAGGATCTGAAGGAAAGTCATGACACTGAGTATTAGCTGAGACCACAACCACAGAGGAGAATGACCTGTGGATCTGGTTCAGTGATTTGAAGGGAGAGAAACTGGAATGAACCGAATGAAGTTTCCTTGCTTAGGTATCTGGGTGGCAGGCCCAGTTCATGGAGTCAGGAGAAACAGAGGCAACTGTAGACAGCGAGCAAGCCCATGTAAGGTGGTGGAAATGAGTTCAGAGAATGCTGAACGTTATCTATCCAGTGGAGAATTTTCAGGTTGAGATCTGAACTGAGGGCCATAGATTTTTGAATCTACCAGAATATATACAGCAGCTAAAACAAGCTAGTGAGATATCTCGGTAACAAGAAACTGATGAAAAATCAGAGTTTGGATCCCTGAGAAAATTTCGCTCTTAGAAGGTATGTAGAGAAAATAGGAGATAGAAGTGTGGTTAAGAAAAATAAGCAAGGAATTCATGAAGATTAATGGGAGTGACCCGTGGGACATGTGTCAATACATAGTGATGGCATTTGGGACAGAGGACGTTAGCATAAAGCTTTCTCTATGACATCATATCTGTGACAGGTGGGACTTGGTAGACACTGGGTCTCTTTTGAGTTTTCTTTTGAGATTTGTATGATAGTTTATATTGTTTTAAGGATAGGTGATTTGTATATTACGTATATTCTCCAGCTTTGATGAGATCTTCACACATTTGAACTCAGTAGTGAAAGTAGAATAAATGTACCTCTCATATAAAACAGAGATGACAGTGTCCTGGGCCATGAAACATGGAAGAAATTGTAGTTTACAAAATTTTGAGGCTGATAGTTTTCATCGAGTCACTTCACTATAGAGAAATGAAGTGCTCAGTGGAATGAGTGATTTGAAAGGAAACTTTCCTGAAGGCCTTGCTAGGGTGAGTTTAATAAAAAAGGGAACACCTTATCAGTAGAAGGTAAATTATAGGACCACAGTGACTTTGCCACTGTTAATCTTCCCTTTCTGTCATTACATATAGTCATTCTGGAGGTTCCATGGTCGCTTTTGCTGGCATCCATCTTGAATGCATTCATGTCCTCTCTGCACACTAACTATATCCCAAGCCATCTCATCCCAAGGTTGTTCCTTTCCTCTAATATATGCTGTACTACCTACTTCACCAATTTTCCACCAGTAGCCAGGCAAATCTAAGTCCAAGTCACTCTTCTACTTAAAAGTCCTCCATTGAGTCTTCACTGCCTTCTATCACTATGTAGATTTCCTGAATGCCAATGAACTACCATTTTGTGCTTCCGGACTGTCTGATCGGCTGCCATGCACTCTATGTCTCTAGATTTTTCAGTTCTCTGTAAGTGTACCTTGTCCTTTACCCTAAGGGCCTTGATTGTTGTGTTTCTTTACTACGTTAGTTCTGATGTCACTCTTTGTAATGAGTCTTTCCTGTGTATTCTGTGGTCTGGCTTTAAGAAAACTGACCTCAGTGAAGAGTGAGATGAAGTACAAACATACAGCCCCCCAGTCTTATTTGAGGGTTAGGCTTATCAGTTGTTAACAGTAGTCAGTCCAACAGTTTGGGCTTCTTAATGCTGTAAGCATTTTCCCCTTAGATTTGACTTGTGTGCTGTCCCAACACATTGTAGTTGCAAAGGAGACAGCTGTTTTATTTCTTTAAACTCAACCACAGAGAGCACCATATACCAGCCCTATGAGACTGATGTTTCACTTTCTTGGATGGTGAGAGGTCTGCAGCATTGATTTGTTTTGAGGTCTGTGCAAGAGTACTTGCTAACCCCCTCTTCCTGGCTCCCAGGAAGTTACCCTCTGTGTCATCACACTGTTAGTGTCTCTGTGTTGATGCTTCCTTCTTATGATAACACCAGTCATATTGCATTAGAGTTCCCACGAGTGACCTCAGTTTAACTTGATTGCTTCTGTGGAGAACCTACCTCCAATAAGGTTACAATTTCAGAAACCGAGTCAAGAATTCAGCCTAGACAAAAGTATTGGTCTAGTTCCATGATGCTGCTGTGACAAAAGACTCTGACCAAAAGCAATTTGAGGAGGACAGAGATTATGTGGCTTATGCTTTCAGATCGTAGTCCATCATTAAGGAAAGTCAGGGCAGGAACTTGAAGCAGAACCTATAGAGTAGTGGTTTTGTACCTCCCCAAATGCTGTCTCTTTAATACAGTTCCTCATGTTGTGGTGACCCCCCCATCATAAAATTATTTTTGTTGCTACTTTGTAAGTGTAATTTTGCTACTGTTATGAATTGTAATGTAAATGTCAGCTATGCAGGATATCTGATGTGCGACCCCTGGGGAAGGTTCGGTACCACTGCCAGAGAGGAACCAGGCTAGCTGACTTACTTTCTTTTCACATGTTCATGCTCAGTGAGCTTTTTCATATAGCCCAGGTCCACATGCTGAATGGTGATTCTCACAGTGGGCTGGGACCTGTATATCAGTCATATATTAAGACAATCTCTTTCAGACATGGTCGCAAGACAATCTGATCTTCGCAATCTCTCAACTGATACTCTTTTAGATTTTTTTTTTTTTTTTTTTTTTTGCTGTACCAGGTTGACAGCTAAAACCAACTAGTACAAGGATCTATCCACAATAGGGCTCCATAATTGATTTAATTATATGGTACTTAATAACAAAGAAAATGAAAGAACAATAGGAGAAATTATTTATTTCATATATTATCTGTATTAGTTACTTTTCTCTTGCTGTGATAAAATACCATGACCAAGGCAACTTTAAAAAAAAAAAAAGAATATGTTGGCTCTTTGTCCAGAGAGTTAGGGTCCGTATTGGAAGGGATAGCTTGGCAGCAAACAGCTAGTATGTTGGCAGGATCAGGAAGCAGAGCAAACTGGGAAGTATGTGGAGTGTTTTACTTTTAAAGTGCACCTCCAGGAACATACGTCCTCCAGCGATGCTCTGCCTCCTAACGTTCCCCAGACAGTGTCACCAGCCGGGGAGCCAAGTGCTCAAACGTCTGAAACTATGGATGATATTTCTTATTTGAACCAACACAACCTTTTAGCTACGTAACGCCTGTAAACCAAACAAGAAACTAGCTGTGCTTCCCAAAATCAACATGTGCTGTATTAATACTGTTGTCTGTGACCTGTAACAGGACTTTTCATTGGGCCACTAGCTCATAAATAATGACACAGAGGCTTATTAATTATGAAAACCTTAGTTTAGGCTTGCTTTCAACTAGTTCTTACAACTTAAATGAACCCATTTATATTAATCTACGTTCTGCCATGTGGTTTGTTCATCTTCATACTGCCCATTCGACTTCCTCTGTGTGTGGCTGGTGACTCGGCCTTTCTTCTTCCCAGAGTTCTCTCTTTCCCCAGAAGTCCTGCCTACACCTCCTGTTTAGCTGTTGGCTGTTCAGCTTTTTATTGCACCAATCACAGCAATGCATCCTCACACAGTGTACAAATTTCCAACAACAGTGACCCATAGGAAACTCTAACAGAGCTGTGTTTTAGCTAAGAAACTAATCAGTACCACTATCCAGACTGGAAATTATCTTCAAGAAGTTATTCAGAGTTAACTGGCATGTGTTGCAAGCACCCTTTGGGGCAGAAATTTGACACTGTTAGAGGACAAACTTCAGCAATGGAGACTGTATATGTTCATAAATCCAGGAGTATATTAGAGGCAGATTTTAATATTTCTCTTGTTTTTATATTAATTAGATAAAAATGATGGGACTGATAGAATTTTCTTCTTTACTCTTTTTATTAGCCAGGTCACATTTTAATTTCATATTGAGTTGGCCATAAAATGTTAAATAAGCTCAACTCTACACAGTTATCCAGCTTAGGCAGTTTTCTGTACACACACACACACACACACACACACACACACACACACACACACACTATTGTTTTCTGTTTCTCAGGTTTTCACCTGGGTTTTGGGTTTTGAACAGGATTTCAGCAAAATCTGTTTTCTGTTCTTGGAATATACTTTGGTGGTTTGTTTATCAAGAAGTAATTCCAGCTCCATAGCTAGGTTCTTTTTGTTTGTTTGTTTTATTTTGTTGTTGTGATAGCTAAACAAAAGCCTCTTCCAGCATTTCTCTTCTTTCCCTAATCATTTTATTATCTATGGCCAGAAATGATGCTAATTACCCCTCTTAGGAGAAGGATATTCTGCTGTCTCCAATCGTGGATGACACCTCCACTGCTGTGTCTATGTAATAGTCGCTTCCATGCTAGCTTCTCCTGTCGGTCCCCTGAAGTGGATTTTTTTCAGAGTGCTTGGACTCGCATTCTGCCTGATGTCCTCATTATTGCTAGTGAGGTTTGCTTTGACAGACAGCACTCGAGCAACCCTTATTCTTATGCCTCAGTAGCTCTTGTGCCACAGGTGCCATCCTGGCAGGTGAAGCCAATAGCATTGTTAACAATATGACTGCCTGGCATCCCAAAGTCATGTTCATTCAAATGAATTAAAGTTATTTTGATTTGCAATAAGAAAGCAAGATTGCGGAGTGCTAGCCACTTGTTTTCCATGGTCTTCTGTTAAGTTTTTGTATTATTAGGTTGCGTTTTTATTGACCTGGAAGTTGGTTGAATCACATTAGAAACAGTACCAGTCCAAGTTGGACTCTTATAAAAAAGTTTATTCTCCTAATGTGTATGTGCGTGTGTGTGTGTGTGTGTGTGTGTGTGTGTGTGTGTGCGTGCATGTGTGTGTGTGTGTATGGATATGTATATATATGGATATGTATATATGGATATGATGTATCTTGATTATATCTTACCTCTCTCTAGCTTCCCCTAGGACTTCTCACCTTATCTTCTCAATTTCATGTCATTCCTTTATAAAATTTATTTATTTACTTATTACACTGAGTTCTGTTAGTGCTGCCCACATGTGCACATTCATGGGGCCATCCACCTGGGAATGGGAATCCTAGTGGCCACAGTCTTGAAAAAAGTGACCCTCTTGTGCCAACAGACATCAACTGTTAATAAGTCATCTTGGGGTAGGATCTCAGGAGTCCCCCCCCTGCTCCATGCTGGAAAATTTAACTGGTTTCATCTTTTGTAGATTAGTGCAGGCGCCTCGAGCTGCCACAAGTTCATGTGTGCAGACGTCCCATCATGTGCAGAATACAAGGTTTCACGTCATGTCTCCCCTCAACATTCCATTTTTCTGTCAAGTGTTTAGTGTTAATTGTGTGCATATATCTCTGTGTGGATTTATGCATATGAGTTCAGTGCTCACAGAATTCAGAAGAGCGCATTGAATCTACTGGGTCTGCAGTTATAGGCTGTTGTGAGTGACCTGATGTAGGTACTGGGTGCAGAACTTGGGTCTTCTGGCAGAACAGTACAGCCTCTTAACCACTGAGCCAACTCTCCTGCCTCAACACAAAGTTCTGTTCTCATAAAAAATATGTTTTTTAGATTTTTTTTATTTTATATGTATTAATGTTTTCCTTGCACACACACACACACACACACACACACACACACGCGCGCGCGCGCGCGTGTGTGTGTGTGTGTGTGTGTGTATGTGTATCATGTGTGTACCTGGTACTCAGGTAGGCCACAGAAGGGTATCACGTCCCCTGGAACTGGATTTATGGATGGTTGTAAGCCATCATGTGGGTGCTGGGAAATGAAGCCGGGTTTCAATTTTTTAAGAACAACAGTTGTTCTAAACCACTAAGCCACCTCTCCAGCCCCTAGCATTCCATTCTTGATGCATATAACTTTATTAACTATTTCTCAAGTCTCACAAGCAGGCTTATTTTGGACATTTTTGAGAAGAGTGTACATTAAAATATAAGTACACCTCCTCTTTTGAAGTACTATGTCATGAATAGTTTCCAATTTCTCATTCTGTGTATGAATCTTTTGGAGAAGGGTGAGGACTTGAATTTAGAAGTGTAGGTGTTGAGCTGAGTAGTCTCTCATTTTATTTGCAAATATTTATTCTCTTTAAAAGGAACTAAATTCAGACTTGGCTTTGAAGAGGAACTGGTGCCATTGTTTTTGTGTGCTGTGCAAGTTCTGCTGCGGGGAGCCGAGCAGAGAGCATGGGCGAGCTGGGAAGCCAGGACGTGAATGCAGTGACTTATGCCGATGTACACATCAACTTCACTCGGGAAGAGTGGGCTTTGCTGGATCCTTCCCAGAAGAAGCTATACAAAGATGTGATGCTGGAGACCTACAGGAACCTCACTGCTATAGGCTACAGTCGGGAAGATCATAATACTGAAAACCATTTTCAGAGTTCTAGAAGATGTGGTAGACATGAAAGAAATCGTACTGGAGAGAAAGTCTCTGAAAATACTGAATGTGTTAAGACCTTAGCATATCACAGTCATCTGCAATTACATGAAAGTACCTATACTGAAGAGAAACCCTATGAATGTAATCCATGTGATAAAGCCTTTGCGGATTTCAGTCCTCTGCAAAGTCATAAAAGAACAAATAATGGAGAGAAAACTTACAAATTTAATCAATGTGGTAAAATCTTTGCACATCAGAACAATCTTCAAAGAACACATACTGGAGAAAAACCCTACGAATGTAATCAGTGTGGTAAAACCTTTGCCCATCACAGTAGTCTTCAAAGACACAAAAGAAGACACACTGGAGAGAAACCTTTTGAATGTAATCAACGTGGTCAAGCCTTTGCACATCACAGTGGTCTCCAAATACATAGAAGATCACATACTGGAGAGAAACCCTACAAATGTAATCAGTGTGGTAAAGGTGTTGCAAGTCCCCGTAGTCTTCAAAGACATAAAAGAGTACACAATGGAGAGAAACCTTATGAATGTGATCAATGTGGTAAAGCCTTTGTATGTCAAAGTGGTCTCCGAATACATAAAAGAACTCATACTGGAGAGAAACCCTACAAATGTAATCAATGTAGTAAAGGCTTTTCAGTACACAGTAAACTCCAAATACATAAAAGAACACATACCGGAGAGAAACCATACAAATGTAATCAATGTGATAAAGCCTTTTCACAGCGTGTTCATCTTCGAGTTCATAGAAGAACCCATACCGGAGAGAAACCCTATAAATGTAATCAGTGCGGTAAAGCCTTTGCTTATCAAAGAGGTCTTCAAAGACATAAAAGAAGACACGCTGGAGTGAAACCTTATGAATGTAATCTATGTGGTAAAGCCTTTGTATGTCAAAATGGTCTCCACCTACATAAAAAAAGACATACCGGAGAGAAACCCTACAAATGTAATCAATGTGATAAAGCCTTTTTATGTCGTAGTAATCTTAAAACTCATCAGAGAACACATACTGGAGAGAAACCTTATGAATGTAGTCAGTGTGGTAAAGCCTTTGGATGTCCCCGTATTCTTCAACTGCATATAAGAACTCATACTGGAGAGAAACCTTATGAATGTAGTCAATGTGGTAAAGCCTTTGCACATCAGAATAGTCTCCAAATACATAAAAGAACACATACTGGAGAGAAACCTTACAAATGTAATCAATGTGATAAAGCCTTTGCTTGTCAGCGTAGTCTCCAAATACATATAAGAACACATACTGGAGAGAAACCTCATGAATGTAGTCATTGTGGTAAAGCCTTTGGACAGCGTAGTCATCTTCGAATACATAAAAGAACACACACTGGAGAGAAACCCTACAAATGTAATCAATGTGATAAAGCCTTTGTATGTGCTAGTCAACTTCGATCTCATAACAGAATACATACCGGAGAGAAACCCTATAAATGTAATCAGTGTGGTAAAGCCTTTGCACATCAGAATACTTTCCAAATACATAAAAGAACACATACTGGAGAGAAACCCTATGAATGTAATCAGTGTGGTAAAGCCTTTATATGTCATAGTCATCTTCAAAATCATAAAAGAACACATACTGCATAAAAACCCTATGAATGTAATCCGTGTGGCAAAGCTTAGCATGAATCACTAGTCTTCAAAAGCACAAGAAAAATCTTACTGCATAGAAACCCTATAAATGTAGTCAGTATGGCAAAGTTTTGCAAGTCATGGTAGTGTTTATACAAGAGTAAAACTTAAGTACATAATTAGACAGTTAAAGCCTTTGCATATAACATTAATCTGTTTGAGGATCTAAAAAAAAACACATACCAAAGGATTTGGTAAAATCTTTAGCCAACATATTTACATTCAGTTACACAAGATTATTGATTTTGGAGAAAAAATATCTGGCAATTGTCAACAACCTGTTCAAGTGTTATGATGTCACTATTTTTTGGTACCTCCAAACTCTTATAGACAAAAGACCTATTACTAAATTACAAATTAACCCTTTCAGATTTCATACTTCTCTTCACTCACAGGAAATAAACCCATGAGCAAGACTTTATGGATATGTAATAGTCCATTTTCTGTTGCTGTAGCAAAACAATATCTAAGTCAACTTATGAAAATACTTAATTTGGCCCTTGGTTCTAGAGAGATTCAGGATCACTGTGAAAGTGGTATGGCAACAAGTGTCAGACATGGCTGCCTGCCGAAACAAGACACTAAGATCCTTACATTCTCAACTGGCACCGTGAAGCAGAGAGTAGGAGCTGGAAATGATGTATAGCTGGAAACTCGCAGGCTCACCCCTAGTGACATATTTCTTCAGCAGAGCAGCATTTCTTAAATCTTCCTAAATTATACCATGAGCCGAGAAGGACTGATTTCTCTGACTTCAAGACTACATACTAGCATTCCTATTACATTAACCACTTCATGATGGAGAAAAATTTTGTCAGCCTTTACAAGTTTCAATACTTGTGTTATAGGAATGAATGCTTAGAAGAGAAGAACACAAGAAAAAGTTTGTTGGATTAAACAAACTTATGTGATGTCAATTATGTGATGTCAATGTGTCTTTTTGTGCACTCTAGTTCCCAAGAAGGTTAGACCCTGGGAGCTTCATGTCACATTAATTACAGGAAGTTTTCAAGAACCTGAGTTTTGTCCTGGGAATGAACTTGTCTTAATTGCTCAGACATGTTTCTAGTCTTTTAAATACTTTAAAGCCTTTTTATATCATCTTGATGTCAGGAAATAGTGAAGAAATCATGCAAGAGGAGACACCTTTTCATGTAAATAATTTTGTAAAGAATATAGACATCAGAGTTGTCTTCATGTTTAAGAACAAAACCTTAATTCATCAAAGCAAAGAAAGCAAATTACCATGTTCACTCAAGACTGATGGTGGAGATCACTGCATTGTGGTTTCTGTTTTGCAACATTTGAGGTACCTATTAAAGTGTGAGAAATCTGATTTGTTTAATTTATGGTCCTTATATTTCTCCTGTGGTTTTTGTTCATCTTTGATTGTGCTTTTGTTTAGAGATAGATTTTTTTTTTTTTTGCTGTAATGTGTAGAATGTGATGCCCATCATCTAAGTAGTCGATTGTTTATTTAAATATCAGGCCATGTGTGATCATACTTTTCAAGTAAAGGTGTCTATGAAAAGGTGGTGGGTTTTTCTCTTTGGTTTTGTTTTTCATATTTTCATAGATTCCCTTAAGATGTTGTTTGTTATCCATCCTAGGTTGTAATTAGTCTGGGATATATTTGAACTCATGATCCTCCTAAGTAGAAGCCCACAGGCAGATGATATACCCCCAACATTTGCTGTTTTGTCAACATAGTTTGAAAATGTTAATGTTAAAGTGTTTAGCAGAAGAGAGACATGTAAGAAATATTAAGTATTTCATGTGTGTATCCAAAATAGAATTTTCATCTCTCTGGAAGAGATATAAGGAGGTAGGATAATCAGCAATCAACTGTATATTTCACAGTATAACTTGATGTACTATGGATATGTATATATTATTTGAAGTTCAATACATCCTCATGTCCCCATCAGTGATTCATTTGGCCCTTGAACTGGAAGTACTGCCTTCTAAGGGAATTATCCAAAGATGCCAGATAATGTAATGTCAATGAGACTTATGGTTTTTTTTTTTTTTGTTGTTGTTTGTTTGTTTTTAATTTTCTGTTGTGTATGTGTAATGTGGTTATGGGGTTTTAGGCTATGTCAGATGTATAGAGAGAGGAAGAAAACTTTGAGGGTTCTACTTTGTTTCATATTCATGTGGTGATCAAGATAATGTTACCAGCCATGCACTCCACAGACATTTTCCACTAAGTTGTCTCACTAATTCTCAAATAAGATTAAAGATCACATCACTGAACTATTTTCTTCTTTTCAGATTGTAAACATTTTCATCAAAGTATAGAGTAAAATGGACAAATTGAATCCTATTGCCAATGAAAAAAATAAAAGGAACTAAAATTTATACAGTAAATTCCTCCCACCTCTTGCTGAGATGTGTCAGGCCAGTGGGTCTGTAATAGAATTTCACAGATAAATGGGTAATTTCTAAGAACACAGAAAAGGAAACAGGATCCTGCGGAATAGATGCCTTAATAAAGGTACTTTCACTTAATTCGGGGTTGACTGAGTATCACCATTAATTTGGCACAGTGAATTCCATCTGACCTTTCTACATAATCTATAATACTGCAGCCAAAAAACTCTCATAACTTAAAAATCTATGGTAAATTATTCATAAATATTTCTCCGGGGGTCTTATTTTATAATTTGTAACATAACTGCAAGTCATACCATTTGTTCATTAATTATAGGCTTAGATTTATCTAGAGGAGATTTTTATTCTGTAAATTTTGTATTTCAATAGTTACTTTTACTTTAAAATCCTTCATATTAAAAACTAGTTAAACTACCACTGACACCAATAGAAGATTAGACATAAGATGAGATGAATAAAAATGAATTTTTAATGGTGTCAAATTATCCTTTTGAGTGAACTACAAGCTGAGTTATACTTAAAGAAAGCTTGCTGTGCACCTCATAACTTCCAGTGTGCCATGTAAGTAGGACCACATCACATGATGTGAGAATGAATGGAAACAGAAAGGCCTTAAGGGACACTTTGGCTGGCTGTTTAGCACTGATTTGTATGTTTCTAGCAAGCCTCGGCCTTTTTCTTCCTGAGCCATAAAATACTCAGTTTGATTCTATGTATAACTCATTCTCTGTCTTTTAGTACATGCTTGCTGCAAAGTTTATCTTTAGTTATCTGTATCCTGGCTTCACAGCATCTTTTTTTAAAAGAATCAGGTATCATTTAATACTCTTTCTTAACCATAGCACTTAACTCATCATACTACTAGAGGAAGAGTCATGTAGGTTATGAAAAATGTTGGAAATACTTATTTGTGATGCAGGCATGTGGTTGTAATGACTTATTTTCATCAGAAATACAGTGTCTGATGTCTGTCTGTCTGTCTATCTACTGTCTGTCTGTCCATCTATCTATCTACCTACCTACCTACGTATCATTCTATCTAATGTTAACCTTTGGCCTAATTTTTTTGTTTGGCTTTCTCTATTCAAATGCCCCTCAATCAAAGAGAACAGAATTTATGAGAACTCTGAGTAACGTTTGAAATTCAATTTTTCTGTCATCAATACCCATTTTGACATTTTACCAGTCCACTTAAATTTTTTTTCCTGGAAAACAATCATTACTATTCAATAGGTTATGTTACTTGATTACATAAATGAGTGAGATATGGTGAGCTTGTACCTATTCCATGTTGCCTTCCTCTCTTCAAAGGGCAACGAGTCAGTGGCATGTTTATTTTTATAAGGCAGAGTTTTTATTTTTTTTTTTCCATGTTTGTGTTATTAACATTTGGACTTGATGGTTCTTTGTTGTGGGACCTGCCTCTGCACTGTAGATGTTCGGAAACACTACTGGTATTAAGCTGCCAGGTGCACATGGCCATTATCCAGTGTTAGAACCCCAAATATTTCATTAATATTGCCAAAGCTTACTGACCCAGTACATGACCACTGCTCTGGTGCATTTATCTAATTATTTATTTTTTATCAATAACAAATTGGGAGTTGCATATCAAGGTAAGAACCTGAATGATCAGAGTAGTGGTGATAAGTGACCAATGTCTTCCTATCTCTTCCCTTTCTCCATCCAAAAGCCCTGAAATCCTCTCCTAGCCACCCCTCCCCCTTTCTGGACTCTATCTGCCCTCAGTCCTCCAAAACTTCTATGGTTAATTTTGGTTAGTTAGTGGCTAGCTCTGCCCTCTGATTTAAAATAAACTTTATTGTCAGAATGCGATCAGACTATCACACAACACTGCTAAAGTCAATGTGACGGGACCTTACTGCAAATGCAACCCCGCTTCCCAGTTTGTGTCTTGCATGTTAGAGATTTCAAGCCATTAAGGACTTAGCTGCTGTCTTACCAAAACCAGACAGGTGCGTCGGTGAGGTAACAAGCCCCAACTGGATCCACATAGCAATCTCTTTGCTCTCTAGGGAAGGTGTTCTCATAACTGCAGCTTGGAATTCTAGATAGCTTCAGTGTTCCAGAAGCACATTCACATGCATATCCACTCACTGCAGCAGGGGAAGAGAACACAGGGAATCATGCATTTAGTTTAAATATATCCAGTAGGGAGCGGCACTTGTCACTTAAGCTCATTTATTAATAAAAGCAAGTTGAGTGGGACACATCTAACTTTGACACAGAGAGGATTTGGTCCTTTTTTGAAGGGAATACCAAGAGATGCTATTGAATATGAGTAATGTGCATCACTAACCTCAGTTAATTCCCGTATGATGTGATTCTGGAATTTGAAATACAGTATCTATCCCTTCATTCTGGAGAGAATGTATATGTGTAGAATAAGCTTATATGTGAATTACATTATATAAATGTGTTAAATTATACATTCTTTATGCTTGCTGGTTTGTTAAGTATGTACATTTTTGGTAGCATTTACATGTAAGATAATAGATTTTTTTGATTAATGGCTATGATAAGCTTTAATTTTTCTTTTCTTTTCATGTCTTTTAATAAGCTTTCATTATCCTTTTGGGTTAAATATATTTTTCATTGTCCTAGAGTTTGTTCTTATTTTTTACACCAGAATCATTTTCTTTCTGTTACTTTTCTTCTTGTGTGTTGCAAGTAGAAACAAAACTCTTATTTGTTTTTTCCTTCACCTACATATCTTAATCTGAAAGATTTAAGGACTTCACTTATTTTGTGTCATCCAGTCTCTAGAGAAGCATTTCTCAAGATTTAAAATTTGAATAATTAACATCACCCAGGAAATTGTTGGGTACTAGAAGTTCTCAAGTTAGAGCTACCGAGTGAGAAAATTAGCTTGGGGCTCAGCATTGAGCAGTTTTAGATGTAGAATCACACTTGACAAAATAATGGTAATATTCTTTCTTTCTGTGTGTCTGTTTTTCTCTCCTCTCTCCTGATAGCTTTTTTTTTTTTTTTTTTTTTTATTTAAAGAAAACTGATACTGTCCTTTCCCTTTAAGTCACCTGTATTGCCGTGAAGAGACACCATGGAAAAACATTTAATTGTGCTGGTTTACTGTTACTGATTTCTTTTAAATTTTTATTTTAAACCTAAAAATTAGAATATAAGATACACACCTGATGTTGGTTACACGCTGCTGCAGAGAAACTCCAGCACCACTGCTTCCTGGCTTGTAAAAACCAACCCCCTCTCTTGGTCATGTTCATCCCCAATGTAAACCCCGCCCCTCGGGCCAAAGCACTCTTCTTAATTGGCTTGAGGGCTGATGACAGGATTCCCATGGCATTTCCCCCTTTTTGTCTAATTAAGTGGGAAAGGTTCTATCTCTAACATAGTAAAACTGTATACAATAAAAATTATTATCAATTATTGTCCAAATAGAAAGGAAAGGTAGTAACCTTAAAAAAGATGAAACTACATACAACAAGAATAATTATCAAGTAAAAAATACATTCTCAATGTCTAATCCATAAGTAAGTGGCAAATTCACAAAGATTACTCCATTAACCATCCTGTCCTGAAGATTTCAAAACTTTGTCCCTAATATACCTTTTGCCAAGATTCGGGAGAACTGTAACTGTCTAGTCTTCAGCCCAATCAAAGACATGAGAAGGAAATAATATTACCTGAGTAAGCAGGAAGTGCAAATAAGCAACTTCAAAAATTGTGGGAAATAACAGAAATAGCTGGCTGCCTGGACAGTCATCAAAAGTTTCTCCTTAATGTTGAGGCATCCATTTTTGGCCTGCAGGCCTAGAATATCTGATAGACTCTTTTAGAAGCAGGACATTTTGGAATACTGTTCCACCCTGTCTTGGCAAATTTCAACAGTTGCCTTTCTTGTTTCCTGTTTGTCCAGTTTGGACAGCATACTGTCATCGGTCAAGGCAAGGGCAGTTTCTTTTCCTAATGGCTAGCTTATGCCCCAAAGAAAGCAAACTCTATATGGAGTTTCTTTGATATCCATCATCCTCTTTTTAAAGTAGGAACAGTCATATCTCAAGTTGAGAATAATATAAGTTATTAATATGTTTCAAGTTCTATCCTCTGTAGGTTTGAAGATTACCTATCTATCTGAAATGTATCTCTATATCTAGAAAACCTATCTAACATCACTATAAGGCCGATAGATATGGGGGACTATTAACCTGTATTTCTTTATTATCCTAAATACTTTTTAAGGACTAAAACTTCACATTGCGTAATTAGACAAGCTTTATAGGTACAAGCTGTATAGGTAATACCTTAAGCAAAAATAGAAGCAAAGGAACAGTATAAGGATGATTACCTTAAATTTTGTCAATATACAAAAATCCATACCAATGTAAAATATTTAAGACTAGTAGTTGCTTTTTTAAAAAAGTAGATTCAATAATCTTCCTTTTTATCCCCCTTTCTTGTTGACCATATCCAATAACAACTTGTAACCAACCCCCCACCCACACATACAAGACACGATGACAACTATCCCTAACCCAGTGAAAGACCAAAAACTATCCATCCTGCTTCTTGGAGTTGTCGGTGTCATGTTCTTAAAATTACTTCCTGTAGTCTAGGTGGGGAGGGGGTGATTGCATTTCTAGGGGACCCTGAAAAAACAGAAACAATTGTCAAGTCCAGAAGAACTAGCTGCATCATTTGAGAGTAGTGCAGGAGGGTGGATCATCTCAGCTAGCTACCTTTGAATTGTCCTGAGCAGTTTGTAGTCCAAAGATGATCTTTGGATAATGTTTATCAGATTAGTGACCTTATCACAGTCCAGGTAGAATCATCTTTGTGGGCTCCCATCATCCTTTTGGAGACTTCAGATGTTGTTAGGAATGTTTATCGTTCATTGCAGAATACTTAAAGATACTAATTGCTATATGGTGTAAATATCAGGGAGGGTGAAGGACCATGATATATTAAAAATATATCTTGGTTATCCAGGCATAATTCCTAAATATCGGTTTGAACTCAAGCCTGAAGTCATATATAGGAAGCTACATGAAACCTGTTTAGAATTTTGAGATACTGCTTATACCTTCAAAAACGTTTTAAGGATTCAAAATAAATTAGAGTGGTATGTTATTAGTGACAATATAATGGTCCGTAGATTTTGGTTGTATTCTGTTCCATACCAGGTGGCTCTTTTGATATGAGACAGAAACTTTGAATTTTCTTTTAACAAACATGGTTGGGTTTAGAGAAGGAGAGAGCCACACTCTAACTCCAAAGTCAGCATTGGTTTTTAATTGAGTCAAGACTACATAAAGACCACCTGTTTAACATGTCTGTAGAGACCAGCAAAAATAGACATTTTGAAAGGTGTATGAAATTTTACCCTGTAGGAAGTATTCTATACCATTAGGCAAGATTACTTCTTTCTGTGGTAATTTTTTCTGGAAGTGTCTTATCTTTTTTCGATCATTCACTTGTTCAAGTGTTTAGATTTCTCAATTAGATGTTTTCATTTTTCTGGAAAGACAAAAACAAAACCCTGCCATGACCTTAATTTGGCGAGTTTTCCCTTTCATCAGGTTGAATCACCACATTGATTATCACCTTTCCTAATCAAGAGGTCTCTTCTGTTCAAATTGAATCAATTTTGATGACATCATGACTTTTCTACTCCTGTAGAAACAAAAGCAAAACCTTTCCCCCAATGTAACACATATCCTGGTTTCCCTTCTGAAATCAGCACATCTTTAAAGTATCTCAGCTGATTTAGTTCAGTTTTTTTTTCTATTATCCATCCAATGTCTTTCTGCTGCTGTTGTTGCCTTTTCATTAGCATTTAGAAAATTTAAAGTCAATAAAGCATTGTGCAATCTATCTTTAAGGGTTATTATTACCCTTTTTTGTTTATTAATCATTTCTTTTAAAGTGCAATTAGATCTGTCTATAACAGCTTGTCCTGTAGGATTGTGTGGTATACCTGTAATATGTTTTATGTTGTAACATGCAAAAAGCTGTTTAATTTTACTAGAGGCATATGTTGGAGCATTGTAAGTCTTGTATAGGTATTCCCATGATGGCCATAACTTATAATAGATGTATAATTACAGAATCTGCCTTTTCAGAACTCAAAGCAGTTGCCCATTGAAATTCTGGACACTTATATATGGCGTGGTGTACATATTTTAATTTTCCATACTCTGCAAAATGAAACACATCCATTTTCCAAATTTCATTTCTTTGAATACCCTTTGGGTTAATTCCTTAAGGTAGTGGAGTTTGGTTATACAAATAACAAGTAGGACATTTCCTTGGCTTGTTGCCAAGTGATAGTTTGTTTTTCAAACCCTTGCTATTGACATGGTGTTTCTTACAAAATTCTGAGACTTCTAGTGCATATCCTACTAATAGCTGATCAATTTCATCATTCCCTTGTGACAGAGGACCTGGTAGACCTGTATGGGATCTGATATGTGGTATATATATATGTGATATATATATATATGATTCCTATTCCTAATTATTTCCTGTAATTGTATAAATAACAAAGTTAATTCTGAATCATCAGGAATAAGTTCAGCTGTTTGTAGATGTAAAAGAACTCTTGCTGCATATTGAGGGTCAGTAACTATATTAAGAGGTTCTGAAAATCTAATAATACCATGAGAATAGCATATAATTCTGACTTTTGAACAGAACCATAAGGGCTTTGAGCCACTTTACTTAAATTTTCTGATATATAGCCTGCTTTTCCTGATTTATTTGCATCAGTATAGAATGTAGGTGCTCCAGATATTGATGTTATCTGCACAGTGTGAGAAAAGATCCAATTGGTTCTTTTTATCAATTGAAGTCTCTTACTGTTGGGGTATCACTTGCCAATCTCTCCTAAAAAAGTACTCTAAGCTCTTTGCCAATGTTCATTTTCTGTCCACAATGAGGAAATTTCCTCACTCATAAAAGATACTAAAATTTCTGTTGAGTCCATTCCTGCTAATTGATGGCGTCTTAATTTTCCTTTCAAGATCAATTCAGAAACTTTAAAAAAACAGTATTGTCTCTTATAACCTCAAAACAATGCAGCTTTTCCTCATCGGATTAATAGATTAGTTGTACTTCACTGATACATGTTGTATGCAGATACTGAGATCTCAAGTTAGAGCAGTAGTAATTGTTGATTCCATTCATTCTTTTAGAATTCTGCCAAATGTCTGGCTGGGTAGCTGCCCTCGCCAGCTAGAACATGTGACCATCAAACTGAAGCATGAATTAGGAATTACAGCTGTCATGAATTTCCAGACCGAATGGGATATCATCCAGAATTCTTCAGGCTGTAACCGCTACCCTGAACCCATGACTCCGGACACCATGATGAAGCTGTACAAGGAAGAAGGCTTGGCCTACATCTGGATGCCCACACCAGACATGAGCACTGAGGGTGAGGGTCAGAAGAAGCAGTCTAGTTCTTAGGTGGACTTGTTTCACAGACATGCTTACTGTCCATCTTTCAGTCATCTATAATTGAATGTGTTAAATATTAATTTTAAAAATGGCATTAATTCAAGGATTTGGAGCTAATATGTCTTTAGACACTTTGACAGGATTCTGTTTAACATGGCTTCTTTAATTTTTTTTATATTTGTATACTAAATATATACTTTATAATATATATTTTGTGTGTATCTACTGTGTGGAATTATGCTGGTGTCAGGGAACAAGGAGTGTATAGTCCCCGAGGGATGGCAAGTGTTAATGCTATGAACTAAATATGAGTTTGAAAGCACAATGGCTTAGTTTTAAAGAAGCGCGGCTATTCTGCAGAGCTCGGGAGGATGATCTAGAAATGCTTTTGAGGAAGTGGTGTTTGAGGTCATATCAAGGCAGTAACTGGTGAAAGGACAAGATGGGAGAGAATGCAAGAAGGAGTGATTTCAAGACTCTGGCCGAGGTGTACGAAGAGGATGTGGCATGTTATGAACTGAGAGACCAGTGTGGTTGAGGGGCTTAGCATGTGGAAGTACCACCAGAATTTGGGCTACAGTAAGAATGTCAAACCACTAGAGAGTAGCTACAGCAGGGGAAAGGATGAGAAACTGGGAAATGCCAAGGTTCTTCTTGCTTTAGTGTTTTCATCAAAAGTCTACATCCATGGCAGCGGGGACAGCTTGGAGCTGTGCCTGGCCATCCAGTGAGGTGGGTGCAGTAAGATGGGTGATAATGTGAGAGATGAGGCGTGGGCGCTGTAGGGAGGAGGGTAGAGAGTCGCCATTGAATGATCAAGCACCAGAGAGCAGTCTTTATGAATGGGTTACCATGGTTGGTTGCTGCTTGGGATGCGGAGACAAATAAGTCACATTTGTGACATAAGTAGATGCAGTAAGGCAAGCTCAAAACAAATTACAGTGCAGGGGGGAGTGGACAATGAATAATATGACGTGCCTTGGGGGTTGGTTATGGCTTCCTTCTGAGGAGGGCAGGTAGGCAGGCTACATGAATTCTATGGCATTTGAAGCGGGCCTGGCTTGGACAGAGAGAACGCAATGTGGGTGCAATAAAGGACATAGACAAAGGCACAGAAGCTTGGAGTTCTAGCAGAGCCATACATACATATGATAGACAGTTGCTGAGTTAGGGGTAACTTTTCAGGTAAGGGAACCACATCCTGATGACAGTGTTGACAATGTGTCAGCAGAGGGCAGCAGAGAGCTGTAGAGAGTGCATCAGTTTGGGGAGGGAAGTGATTTGCTCTTCTGGGTGCCTAGCTAAGAAGCCAGAAAACATTTCTTCCCTCAGCTTTCTCTGTACCAGGTATGCTATGCATCCAGCCCTCTTGTGATTGACATCCTTTAACTCACCAAGTTCTCAGACGGTTCTAGGTAGACATTGTAGTCACCTCCATTTTGCAGAGGGAGAGACAGGTACAAAAGGTTGTGTGTAGTGGGACCAGGTCTTCAGATTGGAAAGGGTCATGTCACAACCAGGTTTGGAGGGTAACAGTCTGACTCACAGCACTGCTTCCCAAGCCAGGCTGTGAAGCAGCAACTACGTGTTTCTTCGTACACCTCAGGCAGAGTATACACCTCTGGCCCCCCTACCTGCAGCAGGACAAACTGACACTGAATAGAGTCTTCCTTTGCTTCAGTTGAACCTGGAGAAGTGTTCAAAGAGTTAACTCTTCCTGAGTGCCAGGGTGACCGTCTACCAACAGACTAGTCTATGGAGCTCACAGTTATAGACCAATGCACATACAGATTAACCCACCGGGATATTTTTAGAACTCCAGGGGGAGGGATGGGATCCGTCTGGAAGCATTCTGAGCTGCTGTGTGCTGCTGTCAGGTTAAGTCTGCAAAGGAGAGTGTGTTAGACTCAATTGTCGCAGACCTGCTACAATCAGTTGTCTTGTCCACACTCCCTGTTGTACATTTTGTCGTATAAGGCTCAGACTCACTTCTTTTGTAAAATGTGGTTTGTCTCTCTCACCTGGGAAATGAAAAATCTCTGAATTCCAGTACTTACTTTGGTGAAATAAACTGCATCTGCTCATTAGAACTACCTTCTCAGGGGAAGTCAGACTCAGGGTTGCTCTCTGTTCCAGGAACAGTCTCTTCCCTTCCCAGTGAGCTCTAAAATTCCGGCTGTTGTTTTGTTACCACAGCCTCGGTCGGTCACTCTCTCATCAGCAGGCTGAATTCATCTCTTTCTTTATGCAGAGATACTGACCATGGGACCAGAAGCTGGGCAAGCTGGAGCTTTCTAGGCATTGAGTAGCTTGGAATATGGGCAGGTTAATTCCTGTATTAGATAGACACCCAAGGGTGGGAATCTCTACTAACTAGATTATAGTAGACTGTAGGATTAGTCACAAGTTTTTAAAAATAGTTTATTAATTCATAAAATTAATTTTTTGAGAATTAGAATTTCATAAAACGGAAGTTTCATAAAACATATCTTGATCAGACTCACCCTGACTCCTCCCTGTAATTCCTCCCAGATCCACCTGCATGCACACCTTCACCTTCTTCTACCCTTCCCACATTGTATTCTCTTTTGTTTATTTTGTGAATAACTCAAGGGGTCTGTTTTGTGCTGACCATATGGTGCAGGGCCATCCTCTGCAGCCTGGTCAACCTACAGGAGACATGCTTGTGAAGAAAACTGACTCTGCCTAGAAGCTGTCATGGGTCTATAGCTCCTCAGTTAGGGAGTTCTTTAAGTTTCTAGTGAAGGATGTTACAGATAAGATGGACTCTCATCTATACTATAGCTCAAAGGTGGAAAACAAGTCTGTCTAAGTAAAATAACAATGTGTACAGTTATATATTGCCCCTCCCCCCCCACTCCAGGGTAAGAAAGGAAAGATGTGCATGCATGGTGTGGATTTCTTTCTTGGTCAACCTTAGACAAAGCAAAGCATCCCCTAGGGGCTTCTGCCCTCCCTTCTGCCCTCCCTTATTTCAGGTCCTAAGGTGTCAGGTACTAAAAATGTCTTCTTCTTTTTTTTTTTTTTTTCCTATTAATAACCTTGGTTTGTTAGACACCTACTTCCCTTTTAGGAAGTGTTTAGTCATCCCAGACTTAGATTAGCCTGTAGCAGGTTTGGAACACCAGGTAGAACAGAGAAGTCTAACGGTGTCTCAGATCAAACAAGCGGTGCTGCTTTGCTGTTGTTCCTTGTCTGGTTGTTAGTGAGGTATTTAATGATTGTCGAGCGAGCATCTACTCACACCCAATGCTTGTTTTAAATTCCAAGGGGAGAAACACAGATGGTGGAGAGTTTTGGTTGACCTACATAAGGTTTGTAATTTTTTCAATTTAGTTAGCAACATTTAAAAGCTAGAATATTTTCCATAAAAAAGAATCTGGGAGCTGGGGAGATGGCTAGTGGTTAAAAGCACATGTTGCTCCTGCAAAGCACTCTGGTTTGGTTCCCAGCACCCACATAGTAGCTCACAACAGTCAGTCTGTAACAGTTTCATGGGATCTAACACTCTCTTCTGGCTTCTACTGGTACAAGGTACGAATAGGGTACACGTATAAACCTGGAGGCAAACACTCATACACATAAGATAACAAGTAAACCTTTCGAAAAAGAATCTGATTTTCTTTTTACCTCACTGTTTAAAGGCTGGAAACTTGTCAAATTAAGTTTCATGTGAAACACACACACACACACACACACACACACACACACACACACACACACACGGAGGTGAAATGTAACTTTGTGTGCTCTGGTTGACACAGATTCTCTTGTACAGTGAGGACCCTCTTTTCATTCCTTGGTGTCTCAGGCTCTCTGCACTGGGACCTCGCATGCAGACTTGTTAGAGCTGGGAAGACACTGAAGTCCCACAGGGTCACAGCAACATGGAGGGATTTTGAGAATTCAGACTGAGATGAGAGAAAGTGCCAGCAATCAGGTAGATTAGGAAGGAACATGCAACGGAGTCTCGGCCAGAGGCGTTGGAGTCAGGTTGGCAGCATTTGAGTGGCCACTTCAGGATTTCAATGGGCCAAGTCTCTGCCTTGGCTCCTTCATGTAAATATTGAGGGGGACAGTCAGCACCTATGGTAGGACACCCTCAGATATGCAGGATTCCATTCCTAACTCCTAAGCTGTGGACTTGCTTCTTTATTTATTGAAAATAGATTTTTTTTTCATACAATATACTTCATTTTGGCCTCCCCTCCCCCACCTCCTTCTAAAGCCTTCCCACCTCCCCACCCATCCAAATCCTCAACCTTTCTCTCTCTCCTTAGAAAACAAATAGGCATCTAAAAAATAAAATAAGACAAAGTAAAAACAAACCAGAATAGGACAAAACAAACAGGAAAAAAATGGAGCAAAAAAGAAAAAAAAAAAAAAAGAAAAAGAAAAAGCACAAGAGGCACAGAGAGGCAAAGAGACACACACATTCACACACACAGAGAACCCATAAAAAGACAAAACTGGAAACTGGAATATATAAGCAAAAAATATGTAAGCTTAAAAAAACCCCAGGCAAAGCATTCTCAGTCGTTCCCCCCCCCCCCACACACCCTCCCAAAATGCCATTGAGTTAGGTGTTTTTTGTTGTTGTCTACGACTGAGCATGAAGCCTGTCCTTACATATGGTCTGTATACTCAATGATATTCCACTGGAGAAAACTAATTTTTCTCATGGAAGCGGTTATCAGTTGGAGGTCTGGGTTAGGGTTGTGGCATTTGTCCACTCTTCCTCTCAGAACTGGGGCGGTATCTGGGTTAGACCTATGGAGGCCCTATGCCACAGGCTGTGTGAGTTCATATGTGTGTCAGTTCTAGAAGACATTGTTTCTTGGGTGTTTTCCACCCCCACTGACTCTTACAATCTTCCTACCTCCTTTTCCACAGAATTCCCTTAGCCCTGAAGGGCGGGATTTGATGAAGACATCCTATTTTGGACTGCATGTTTCAAGGTCTCTCATTCTCTGCACAGTATACAATTATGGGTCTCTGCATTCATTCCCATCTATTGCAGAAGGGAGCCTCCCTGGATAATGGCTGAGCAAAGACACTGATCTATGAGTCTAGAGGAATGTCAGTGGGAATCATTTGATTGCTACATTCCTTAGCAGAAGAATGGTATTTTGTTTCCCCTCGGTCTGTGACCCCTGTGGTCTTAGGTCCTTGACCACCCAAGTAGTGTTGGGCATGGGTTCCATGTCATGGAGTGGGCTTTAAATCCAATTAGATGGCTGTTGGTGACTCCCACAACTAATGTACCACTATTGGACCAGCGCATCCTGCAGGCAGGACACCATTGTAGATCCCAGGGTTTTCCGCTGGGTTTGTCTTCACCTGTCTCCTCTGGTAGCCTGAAGAGTGCCTTCTAGTACCGTGAATGCTAGTCAGTAGGGGTGAAGGCTTTAGGTAGGCACCACCTGGACTTCTGTGTCTTCAATGAGTTGTGTCTTCATCAATAGGGCCTCACTAGCAGTGTGTAGAGAGTGACCAATCGCCTGGGTTGTTTGTGGGTTTCAGTGGAGCCCTTTGGCCAGCAACTCAATTCTATGGAACCCATTCTTGGCATTGGCAGTCTCCTTTGCTGGTAAGAAATGTCTAGTTGGGCCTTCTTACCTGATAATTCCATTTAGATTTCCTTCAAATATGTATATATTTTAAGAAGCTTCTACTGTACTTTCAGTTTCCATATGACCCCTTAAATGGCCCTTAGGTTTGGCTCTCCTTCCCTGACCCTCCTTTATCCCCTTCCTTTCTTCTCTCCCCCTCCTTGTTTGATCCTTCTATTCTAGTCCCCTCCCCATCCATCAGAGATATCTATTCCATTTTCCCTTCCTAGGGAGATCCTCCCTTTACCCCTAGTCCCTTCCTCCACACCTAACCTCTGTGGTTATACAGATTGTAGCCTGTTTATCAAAGACTTAAGAGCTTACATCCACATATAAGAGAGTATGTACCATATTTGTCTTTTTGGGTCTGGGTTGCCTCACTCAGGATGATTTTTTCCAAACTCCTTCCACTGACCAGTGAATTTTATGATGTTCTTTTTTAACGGCTGAGTAATATTCTGTTGTATAAATGTACCACATTTTCTTTATCTATTCACTCACTGGCCAACATCTAGGCTGTTTCTGGTTTCTGTCTATTATAAATAGAGCAGCCATGAACACAACTGAGCAAGTGCCTCTTTAGTAGGATGGAGAGTCCTTTGGGTATATGCCCAAGAGTGGTGTAGCTGGATCTTAGATTAGGTACCGGTCTGTTCCCAGCTTTCTGAGGAACCATCACTGATTCCATAGCGGCTGTACAGTGTTCTTGCTTCTTGAATGACCTCCTGCAGATGGAAAGGAAAGGGGAGGTGTATTACATCACCTAGGCTGTTGGAGCAGAGCTGCCCTTTGGGAACATCTGTCTACAGAGTCCATCTGGATTGGTTCTGTGGAAGACACAGTCTGGCAGATTGGTTAGCTGAGGTTCTGAGCCCCACAGCTCCCACTGCAAACAGCCCCTCTGGTCTCTCTATAGATCGGACATTTGATTTAAAAAGTATATTTAAGATAGTCCTGTTCAATTCCTGCTGTGGCAACTATTACAGGGAGCTTGTCCAAGGGGACTTGGTGGCAGAACGGAAAGAAGCCATGGTTCCTAGAATTATCAGGGGCATTCTTTTCATGCCAGAAACTGCTCACAGACTTCCCTGTGATGGAGCAGATCACACCCTTCTTAGCATAGTCACTCCAGCGTACTCTGGATGTTTGCCGCCTCCGATCCCTTGAGACAAGTGGTGGATCCAGCACACAGTCCTGTTACTGAGATTGCCAGGAGCAACCCACTGGCCCATGTGATGCTCTGGATATGGAGTGGTTCTGGGAGGGTCCCCTGAGTAACCGTGCGGCAAGCTACTCAGCTGAAACCAGAGGTGCAGATTGAGTGAAATTAACTTCTGCGCCTCTGTGGAACATCATGGGAGCTGGTGTGTGCCTAATGTAGATGTTTTTAGGGACTGGTATCAGGGGGGAGAAAGAGGGGGGGAGGGAAGGAGGGAGGGAGGAGGGGAGAGAGAGAGACAGACAGTTAGTTTGAGAGGTTGCCCTGTGTGCCCACTCATACATATTTCCGTGAACACATTTCAGAACTGCTGGGTGGTGCCTGTAGCTTTTCATCTCTTACTGAGAGGGGCTGACGGAAGTCAGACAGGAAGACTGGAGTATCCTCATGGCTTTGCTGCAGGTTCCTTCTGTCTCAGGTCATGATAAGCCTGAAGTTAGGTTGGGGACTGAGGGGACCTTGGAGCCATGGTGAGCTCCTGTGAAAACTCCACCTTCCTAGGCACTGGCTCCTGATTCCAAGGTCCTGACCTGGTCACTTCAGGGAGTTAGCACTTCCGACGAGGAGGCCCCAGGAGTGAAAGCTCCAGGGAGAATTCTAGGCTGCAGTGAAGATCTGCAGGTGAGGGAGGGGCTTCTCACCTCATCAGTCATCCAAGAGGAACCGCAATATGGACACGAGATAGATGTTCTCTGTAGTCCTGAGAGATCCTCCTGGGGCCATTGTGTCCTTCTCTATGATGTACCGAGAAACTAGAGAATGCCGATTTGTAAGTGTATCATTTAAATCCAGTAATTCTGGGTGGTCACCCTCTTTCATTCCCTTCTGAAGTAATTTATCATGATGCTGTCCACCAAAATACCAGGCAGATAAACACTCTCACTAAATATCTCTGTAGCGAGAACCTCTGATCACAAAGAATGGTCATCTCAGAGCTCAGAGGCTGGTGGTTGGTTACTCCCCTACCCAGCAGGATGCAGGAGCTGTTGGGGCTCAACAGGACACAGCATACTTCTCAGGATGAGGAGACATTTGATCATCAGAATAGCAGCCAGAGGACAGTAGCAACTATGATCACAACTCTCCAATAACATAGAAAGAAATCAAGTCTGTGTCAGTGTTCACTGTATTGTGGGGGCAAAAATGATTGGATATCCCACATGCACCAGCTCTAAGTTAGCCACTCAAGTCCTTGAATGGAAATCAGCGTACTAAACTCTGTTGTAAATTGCATTTGTCTAATCAGTGAGTACAACTGAGTCGCTAACCAGTGTGAACTCATTATGTGCTTTTCATTTGCCGGGAAGGACACTTAGGAGTAAGAGATTAAGGGAGTCAGGACTTATCAGGTTTTCTTTGAAACCCTCTAAAACCACTGCCAAATCTCTGTGAATGCTTCTAAAAAGATGTTAAAATCCTTTCTCCCGACCCCTGTGCCCCCAAAACATGGTTGTTAACGTTGTAGAGAAATTCGCATCAATGGCGAAGCTGCTCAAAAAGCAGTAATATCCATGGAATAGTTGGGGTCAAGTTCAGGTTCAGAACTGACTCTTGCCCCTAGGATGCTCTCTCCACCTTGGTATTCTCAGGTATTAAATTGGTTTCACTCTTTTTTTCAATGAAAACAATAAATGAAGCAAACTGTCACGCCCCGCCTCCCCCGAGCTCAGGGTTCTGCTGCAGTGCACTGGTAGAATTTCTAGCTGTGACATGACAGTTTCTTTGTCCTCATCGGTTCCGTGCTTACTCTCTCTAGGCCGAGTGCAGATGCTGCCACAGGCTGTGTGCCTCCTGCACGCCCTCCTGGAGAACGGACACACCGTGTATGTCCACTGCAACGCTGGGGTGGGCCGCTCCACAGCTGCAGTGTGCGGCTGGCTCCACTACGTGATCGGCTGGAATCTGCGGAAGGTGCAGTACTTCGTCATGGCCAAGAGGCCTGCGGTCTACATTGATGAAGACGCCTTGGCCCGGGCACAGGAAGACTTCTTTCAGAAGTTTGGGAAGATTCACTCTTCCATATGCAGCTTGTAGGCGACCAGCTTGCCTCTCGTAGTTGTCTTAATAAGGAACCGGGGGTGTGGTTAGTGGAAGGCCTATAGACAAAGACCCCATTGGAACTGCGGGGACTGTCGCCCTCAGGACCCTTGGGCATACCTTCTATTACAGCTTGGTAGGGCTTACCTTTGAAATATTTTACAAAGGCAAACTGCGTGCCACATGAGAAAAATTCAAAGGTAGCTGGGCAGTGGTGGAATGGATGCCACAGTTGCTGCTGCCACAGGCCAGGACCTTTGCTTACGGGCCCTGCATAGACTGTTAGGGATTTGTGATGCTTTGGCATGCGGAAGACGAGAGTGGTTATGTGGATTTTATCATTACTGTGAGTGACAGACAGACAGACACACACACACATACACACACACAGCATGTACACACATGCACAAACACATACAACATTTTGCTGACCTGAAATTATAGACATTTGCCAGTGGAAGGGAGAAGTATATACACCTGAATATGACGCAGAAAGAACTCGCCATGGGCATAAAACAAGTTTTCTATAATTTTCTTTATTCCATTTCATAGTTGTCAACATCTCTGAGGCACCTCCTTATTGTCCTGTCCTCCTCACATGACAGCAGAAGTCGTTAGCCCTCTGTTTCTTCTGGCCTTCTAATTGCTATTTCCCCCCCTCAAGACAGAGTTTGTTTACTCACTTTAGTATAACATAACACACAAAGGTCAGTCTTTAACTCATGGTGATCTTTCTGCCTCCGTCTCCCAAGAACTGGGATTGTGGTGTATGCTTCCATACTCAGCACCACCATTTTTCAGTTTTGTCTTTTTGAGCATCGCTGACTTGCCCCAGTCTCATGGTAAGCAGGAACAAGATGAAGTTTGTAATTCAATTTATCTGGCTCGGTGCCTGCCTTCCCTGCGATTAGTCTTTCAGCAGACTGTCATGGGTGTGGCTTTGTTTGTCTCAGGTCACTATCCCTGCAGTTGTTTCTACAGTGAGACATGGGACAATGTTCTGAACAGCTCCCAAAGAATTTGGGAAAACCATTTTATTCTGCTCAACCTCCTTTAAGCTGTGGTGTGTGATCTCAAGGTCATGAGTGGAAGGAGCCTGAGGAGGCCATGTCCAGAGATCAGTGTTGGGCAGCTAGGGGCCGACCCTGGCTTAGTACTCAATTCAGTATAACACACATTGCTGTTCCTCCCAGACATGTGGTTTATTCCATTAGGTTTTATCAGCAGTACAAATGTCAGCAAAACTTTGCCTTGCAAGATATAAAATGTAGAAACAGACCTGTGTTCCATCCTCGGGAAGACAGTCCCCTACTGACATATTAGGGCACAGAAGGGACTTATCTTTAGTTGAGTGCCACTGTGTGCCAGTTGATTTCCTATGTCTAACGCCATCACAGTTCACTCTGGGATGGGTTATTGTGTCTGTTGAGATGGGGAAGTGAGGCCCAGAGAGACAAAAACACCTGTCGACTGCCATTGTCGTCGATGGAGGCCATGAGATGAGATGCAAAGCTAGGTTCGTCTCTCAGATCCCATACCGTAAAAAGTTAAAGTGTGATATTTAAATGTTTTTCTCTTCCTTATTTTAGAAATGTGTTAATAGATGGTAGCGATGGTGATTTGGGAGGCAGAGGGGACAAGAAGGCCACAGCCTGAGTTCCAGTAGTGTTCAGAATAGAGAGAGATGTCTCAGAATGAAGGCACTCAGAGGAGGTACCAAAGGGGGGGGGGCGGGAGAGAAAGAGATGTTTCAACATGACAGTAAGACACCCAAGGGGAGGTGGCGTTTGTTTTGAATAGAGTACCCTACACGAAACATTTCTCCTACAGTTACAAAGTACCCGGCCTCTCCTACAAAATATAGCTAGATGCAGCACCTATGTCTAAGAGCCAATTTATAATCACAATGTATTAGGTAAAATTTAATTTTTAAATGGGATATTTTAAACGAATATAATGGTGTGTGTGTGTGTGTGTGTGTGTGTGTGTGTGTGTGTGTGTGACTTAATGTCTTAAGAAATCCATCTGTACAAATTCCACTGTACAGTGGCCTTTTCCAGGTGGCTTTTTATCTATGGCTCTGATGAAATTGTTTAGAACTACAGATGAACGTTTTAGAATGACCCCACTTGCCCTCAGTTAGTGGGTTGTCTAATGTATCTCAAAAATCACCTGGGAGCTTTGCTAAATAAAAGCATAAAAAAAGACCTTTGTGCCACAGAATTGTTTAATGCTGTCAACCTACTCTGAAATCTAGAAAAACACATTTTTTTTTTTATTTGTAAAAAGGGCATTGGGCTCACCAAATTGCTTTTTCCTCTTTGTTCATGCTCTAATGAGAAGGGGTGGCTGATGGACGTCTGAGATGGAAGCACCACAGAGAAGTGAAGGCGGCACTTGGGAACATCTAGGAGAAGACCATGGAAGGTGCTGTCTCAAGTGACTCTTGTTAAACACTTTTTGGGGGTTATGGATATGTGTGGGGTGCTGGGATGGAACCCAGGGCCTCACAAGTGAACTATATCCCCAGACCAATGAAACTTCACTCAAAGGATTCTCACAGGAAATCCTAAGATCTCTTGCTTGGAGCTCTTGAAGGAGCACCAAGGTACCGAGATACCATTACTGCCTTTTAGACTCCAAACATGTCTTTCTTTTATTTTGTTTGCCAAAATTGGTAAAAAGAAAAAAAATTAGCAAAACATAAATATATATATATTCTCTTTGTCCACTTGGCTTGTCCTAAAAAAAAATGTTGAATAAGAGTTTGGGGTCAGGCAGCGGTGGCACACACCTTTAATCCCAGCACTCTGGGAGGTAGAGCCAGGCACATCTCTGTGGTTGGTCCAGCCGGGTCTATAGAGCAGGCTCCAGGACAGGCACCAAAACTACACAGAGAAACCCTGTCTCAAACAAAACAAAACAAAAAAACAAAACAAAACAAAACAAAATGAGTTTGGGAATGAAAAGGAAAAAAATGAAATGAGACTCAAAAGTGAACTAGATGGGAATTCGAACTCTCCATACACTGTGCAACAGAGGCAAGACAGAACGTTAAGATCACAATTCCCTTTAAAGGTAACCACATGCAGTTCCTTTAGAGGAGAAAGAGCCAAAACACTGTATTACAATGCAAAGTGTTGTAACTGAGGACCAGCGTAGACGGGTCAGGCAGGGACACAGGTAAGTGATCATGGTGTGGAGGAGCAGAGTAGACTTAGTGCAAACGAGATCAGATGGTGTAGAGGGGAAGACTGGATGGAAGAGTTGATGAGAAGGGATAAGCAGAAGGAAAAGCAGTGCGCACAAGCAAAGCTAAGTTTTATTCCTGTCTTAGTTTCTATTGCTGTGGAGAGACAGCATGGCCAAGGCAATGGGTTCAGAGGGTTAGGGTCCATGACCGTCATGGTGGGAAGCATGGCAGACATGGTGCTGGAGTAGTAGCTGAGAGCTTGTATCTGGGGGAGAGAGAGAGATTGAGAGAGAGAGAGAGAGAGAGAGAGAGAGAGAGAGAGAGAGAGAGAGCCAGCCAGCCAGCCAGCCAGCCAGAACTGGGAATGACACGGGCTTTTGAAACTTCAAGGCCCACCCCCAGTTACACACTTCCTCCAATAATGCCACACCTGCTAATCCTTCCCAAGCAGTTCTACTAACTTGGACCCCAATATTCAACTATATGCATCTATGGGGTCATTCTCGTTCACACCACCACAATTTCTAAAAAGGAGGAAGGAGGGTGCTTTTGGAAGGAGTCAAGAAGACGGTGCAACAATGGAAGTGAATGGAGAGCCAAGTTCTGTGCTCAAGAGACCAGCTAGGCATGCAGCGACTTCTCTGAGGCTTAAAATCCAATTTAGAAGAATCAGCACTAAGTAATGTTTGGAGTCAACAGTGGGAACAGTATACATTTTTTATCACCCACTAGAAAAGGAAAGCAAGTCTGAAGGGGCAAGCCTAAGAGTAGAGGGAGAAATTGGTGAAGCTCCTTCTGTATAAAAATAAGGACAGTACTAAAGGGAAGAGGAAGGGCATAAATGGATCTGTTCCTTTGTTCCCTAAACCATTATAGCAAATGTCTTTTCAAATCTATTTCATGGGTATGTATATCTTCCTTTCATTGCTGTAACATAATACTTGAGGCTACTTTGGCTAGTGAATAAAGAAGAAGACTTTTGTCTCATGATTCTGGAGCCTTGGGAGTCCAAAACCGTGATGACAAGATCTGCTTGGCTCCTGATGGGGTTTGTGGCACTTCAACTCATGAAAAATGGACAAATGGTCTCAGGTGAGACTGAAATTGGAGTCATGCTAGCTAAACCATTCCTACATGAGAGATATTTCCTATCCATGAGGGCTCTGACCCCACCTCCCTACACTGATACATCAAGGAATTAAGATTTCTGTACTTGATCTTCCAGGGGACACAATGAGCAGTAGGTTTGTACCCAAGTCCTGTTTGACTCCTCTTCCTCTCCGCCATCACATTTGATCCATCAGGATGGCATGTCATATCTCTGGTATAAATACTCTGACTATATGCAATTCTTGATTCTGTCACCTCCCTCTCTCGCTAATTCCCACACCTATCAAATCTACATAGTGGACTGTGAGATGTCAGATTTGTGCCTAAATTCCAATGACACTGAGGGCAAACATCAAAACTTCCACAGGCCCACACAATCTATATTCCTGACATCCTTCTGACCTGGTAGGCTGCTATCTTCTAAGTTATTTGCTCTGCTCCAACCATGGTTTCTTGCTTTTCTTGGAATATTCTGGGCAGGTTTCACACTCAGAACTCTTAGACTTATTGTTATCCTGATTGTGCTGTTGTTAGGTTGTGGTTTGTCTCTCAGAGTTTTACATGCTGGAAACATGGTCCTCTGGGTGGCTATGTGGAGAGCATTGGAAACTCTAGGCAGTGGACACTATTGGCAGGTAACTAGATCATTTATGTCAATGCCTTCAGGAAAGGCTTAGTGTAATTCTCATGGGACCCTAGTTGGTCTTCGTGTGAGTGTTGTAGGGCAAGGGCACTGATGCTCTGGCATCATTTGCACCCTGCCATTTTCCTTATCTCTCTTCTACCATGTGTGACAGAATGATGTGAATCTTCTTCAGAGGTTGAATCTATTGGCCCCTCTGATCTGGAACATTCAGCTTCTGAAACTGAGGTAAGCGAGTCTGTTTTAATTGTGAAGCACCCAGCCTCCGGAGTTCTGTTCCAACAACAGAAAACAGATAAGTACACATAGGGATGCTTTCTCCAGATGTACTCTTCCCTCCATGATGCCTACTAGGATCACTTATTTAAAACACCTTGACTGGATTCGCCTCTCCTGTCCCATAGTCACTGCTTTACTTCTCTTTAGAGAACTTATGGTGGGATAATATAATACAAGATTTATCTGCTCATTGTGTTGTCTACTTCTTACCATGATGTAGACTTCATAGAGTCAGAAATTGATACCCTTTGGTGAAGTACTTAGTGTTACAGAACTTGGCACATAGTTAGTACAACAGAGATGGATGACAACAGTAATTATTGCAAGCATACAATGCTACAAGCATTGTTCTCTAAGGCTATACACACACACACACACACATACACACACACACACACACACACCTACCTTTGATATAAACTCTAGGCATACAATGTGTGCCAGTTTGCTAGAGTGGCTGTAACAATGTACCTCAGACTTGGTGTCTTCAACAACAGAAATGCATCTTTTGATGATTTTAGAATATCAAGCACAGAATGTCAGCAGGGTTGGTTTTTCTGAGGACTGAGAGGCCGTATTCCACATCTCCTTCCTTTTCAGAAATTCCTGACATATTTCTGGTTGCAGAGATAGCATCATCTTGTTCTCAGACCTCATCTTCACTCAGTATATGCCATATGCAGGAGTCCATGTTCAAATGTTTTGGTTTTTATTATTTGTATATGAATGCACATGGATCTGCATGCATATGTTGAATTCAGAGAATAACATATTTTTAGGTGCTATCTACCTTTAAAAAAACATTTAGAAACCCTCACTGGCTTGGTCCTTGCCAAGTAGGCTAGGCTGGCTTCCAGGAAACCCCAAATATATGTCACTTTTTTCCTCCACAGTGATGAGCTAATGAATGCATGCCACATACCCAAGTTTAAAAAAAAAAACAACTGCATTTGTAGATTAAGCTCATGTACTTGCACTTTTACTTTACTGACTGAGCTGTCTCCCTGACAACCAAAACAAGGACATCAATCATGTCAGAGTACCACCTTCGTTGTGACATCATCTTAACTGCACTTTTAATGGCCTGGTTTTCTAATGTGTTTACAATTTGAAAGGAGGTTGTTACATGTTAATTTGGAGGGGACATACATAATTAAATCTGTAATACTATAAAAACTACCTAGAGACAAGAAGAAAGAGAAGTAAAACCCAGGAAAATTGGGAGCAGATGTTAAAAAGAGTTGAGAAAGGGGTGGATTTTCCCATTTTCACAGATCTGTCACTTGAGAGTATTAATAAACAATAGAGAGAGGCAGAAATTTGGAGCTGCTGAAACACAAGACAGGATGGGTTCTTGTGCTGTAGTTATGCCAGGTCACATACCAATATTATTAAAGGAAATATTTAAAAACCAGGGTGCTGTCATCAAGGCCCAATGTGCATTAATGTTGTAAACAGAAGATAGGAAACCAGAGGCTGAAGACATTGATAAGCAGTGAAGAGCAGTGTTTGTGCTTACAAAGGACCTGGGTTGGATTTGAAATTCACATAGTGCCCCAGAACTATTATAACTCTAGCTCCAGGGGATCCAACCCCCTCTTTTGCCCCCTTAAATACTGCATACATGTGGTATACATACATACATACATACATACATACATACATACATACAGACAAGACACCTATACATATGAAATAAAAAATGAATCTTTAAAAAGATAAAAAACAAAAAGTTTTCAGAGCATGGAAAGCTCCTTAACATTGGTCTCAGTCATGAACTATTTTTTTTCATTTTTCTTTATTAAGCTTTTGCTTAACATAGAGGATGATGTAATATACACTGTTGGTTTACATGTTGAGAAAAGAGAGAGTGTCATGTATGTCATGTATGTTCTTGGGTAAAGTTTGTCTTTGGGGATGAAGAGACCCTAAAAAATAGAATTTCCCTTATTCTCCAACAGGAACATAAATACCAGATTATA